AAAGTACAAGCGAGGGCCAACTTGATTCCCATGTGAGTGAACGCACGCAGAACACAAAGGACCTACTCAGGGTGCTGTCTCCCCAGGAACTCAAACGCCCCCTCTGCCTGCTCTGCGCCCCAGGGTCACGGTGATGGAGATGGAGTCCACTGGAACAGAAAGACAGGAAACTCACTGGCTGTCTACCCCAGGCTCAAAATAAAGTCTATGAAAAGGTGGGCGGAGGGTGGTGACCACGGCCTTACTTCAGAAAGCCCAACACGGATCTTTAACCCAGGAGGGCCAGCGCGTTGTGTGGGACCAGGCATGTTCACAGAACACTCGCTGTGGAAGACCAACTGCGCAATACCGGGACAACAGCCGAGACTCGATCCTTGCCAGTTCCACACGCCACGCAAATTAAAAGACGGGGCTCACTTGGTTATTCCTCGCTCGCAGGGCTGCGATTCATAGTGCTGGCATCCCATATGGGTGCCGGGTTCTAGTCCGGTCGCTCCTCTTCCAGTCCAGCTCTCTGCTGTGGCCCGGGAGGGCAGTGGAGGATGGCCCAAGTGCTTGGGCCCTGCACCCACATGGGAGACCAGGAGGAAGCACCTGGCTCCTGGCTTTGGATCGGCGCAGTGCCGGCCATAGCGGCCATTTGGGGGGGTGAACCAACGGAAGGAAGACCTTTCTCTCTGTCTCTCTCTCTCACTGTCTATCTGTCAAATAAATAAAAACAAAAAACAAACAAAAAGATGGTCCAAGTCCTTGGGGCCCTACACCCTCGTGGGAGACCTGGAGGAAGCTCCTGGCTCCTGGCTTCGGATCAGCTCACATCAGCTCTGGCTGTCGCGGCCATCTGGGGAGTGAACCAGCGGATGGAAGACCTCTCTCAGTCTCTCCCTCTCACTGTCTGTAACTCTGTCTCTCAAATAAATAAATAAAATCTTAAAAATTTCTTAAAAAAAAAAAAACATGTAGAAAAGCCCTACAAAAGGAGCACAATACAGAAACCCTAGAAGATGTACAAAGTGTTGGATCCATACTTTTTAAAAAGAGAAAAAAAAACAAGAATGAAAACATAGATTTAAGCAGCTCACTTGTTTTTTATTTATATTTTATTTATATTTATATATATTTATATATATATTTATATTTTATTTATATTAGTGAGAGTGTGATTTCTTTTTCTTTTCTTTTCTTTTCTTTTTTTTTTTTTTTTTGACAGGCAGAGTGGACAGAGACAGAGAGAAAACCCTCCAATGGCCGCCGTGGCCGGCGCACCGCGCTGATCCAAAGGCAGGAGCCAGGTGCTTCTCCTGGTCTCCCATGGGGTGCAGGGCCCAAGCACTTGGGCCATCCTCCACTGCACTCCCAGGCCACAGCAGAGAACTGGCCTGGAAGAGGGGCAACCGGGACAGAATCTGGCGCCCCAACCGGGACTAGAACCCGGGGTGCTGGCGCCGCAAGGCAGAGGATTAGCCTAGTGAGCCGCGGCACTGGCTGAGTGTGATTTCTTGACATGGACTGGAAACGTGGGCTTGGATTATTTTGAATGAAGGACTGTGGTGTCGGCTTCCTGCCCTGCGCGGTTTCCTGGATTTGTGGCCGTGCACCACCAGGGTGCGCTGTTGCTGGGCCTGGTGGCGGAAGCAGCCCTCCCTTAAGGAATACACTGGGGTAAGCCCCCTGCATTCCGCCGTGCATCTTAGAGAGCTGACGGGCTCCCGGCGTTCCGGCTCATGGGAGGTATACTTGAGATTCTGAATGGTGGCCATGCAGTTAGGAAGTACAGACTGAGGACACAGCAGATCGTGTCCTTTTAGTGATACTCCTAGTACTGAATACTGCGGTTAATAAAAGTCTCAAAAAAGAGAAAATAAAAACCAGGAAGGAAGAAAGAAAGAGAAGGGAGGGGCAGGAGCGGTGTTGTGGTGAGTGGCTGAAGCCTCTACGTGCAGCACCCGCCTTCCGGATCCGAGTTGAGTCCTGGCTACTCGGCTGTCTGCTAGTGCGCCTGGGAAAGCAGTGGAAGGTGGGCCAGTACCGGGGCCCCTGCACCCACGTGGGGGACCAGCATCGAGGGCCCAGCTCCTGGCCTCAGCCTGGCCCAGCCTGGATGTCGCAGCCGTGTGGGGAGTGCACTGGTGGATGGGAGATCTCTCTCTCTGTCACTCTCTGTTCAGATTAATACATCTTGAGAAAGATAATGGAGTGAAAGATAGAGTAAATACTTCAGTCATTTATGTTTTAGAGACCACAGTGCTTCATGTTGGAGCTCTGTCCCTGGTTTCCCGAGGAGTCTTGAGTTACCAGTTTCCAGTCTGAAACCAGAGGGAGGCGATCGGCATTTTGAGTGAGTGTTGATCTCGTGATTAGCCGGCAATGAGGAGTCGCCTTTCTCACGTGGATGCTTGCCAGATGCGTGTGTGGTCCTTGCCCTCTGGACCGTGTAGACATGCACTGCTGGGGGTCGAGTGTCGTGTCTGCTCCGCGGGATGAGGACCTGCCACCCGCATGCTGAGTCGTTTAACTGTGAAGCCCAGAAACACAGCAGCCCCTCAGTGTCACAGGTTGGAGAGGGCAAAGCAGAGCTACGCTTGGTTAAATGCCTGTGTGCGGGGAAGGAAGTAGAGACAGGGGGCTTGTGATTGTAGCACACCGTGGCTGGAGCTAGTGAGTGAAGACGTTTATCGGTTTATCTTTTTAAGATTTACTTATCTGAAAGGCAGAGTGGCAGAGAAAGAGGGAGAGACTGAGAGAGAGAGAGAGAGAATATCTTCCATCCCCTGGCTCACTGCCCGGTTGGTTGCATCGGCCTGGCTGAGGAGCCTGGAACTATATCCAGGTCCCCCCTGCGGGTGGCGGAGACTCAGGTGCTTGGCCCCTGGCCCACTGCCTTCCCAGGTGCAGAAGCAGGGAGCCGGCTCAGAAGCGCAGGACCCAGTGCTGGGAGCGCGGATGCCGGCGTCGTAGGCAGCGGCTCACCCTGCCGGGCCGCACTGCCACTCCGGGTCACTAGGTCCCTATCATGCCCCTCACTTCGCAGACCTCGGCGTTTGTTCTCACCGTCAGATACACTTCTGGAAGCTGGGAGTCGGCTTCCGCTGTTTGCTCAGCTCATGCTGGAATCGGGGGAAGTCCTTGGTTAGTCCATTCCTCTTCCGACTGTTCTTTCTTGCTGTGAGTGCCTCTGAAATACTGGTGTGCTGCTCCACTGTGGTGTCTGACCGCCTTCTCCCTCCGCTGTCTGTGTCCTCCCAAAGCAGTTTCACGCGTGCCAGGGTCTCACCCACCAGCTACATGGTATCTCAGTACCTTTGGCTCCTGTAACAACAGCGAGTGGCGCATGGTTCTGGGGGCTGGGAAGATCAAGGCGCAGGCAGGCTCTGTGTTGGGTGGGGGCTGTGTGCCCTCTGCTGTGCCCTCGTGCATGGGGCACAGGCGCTCTCTGGGCCTCTGTTTCTAAGGGACTTGCTGATGTCCTCATGCCGGGGTTCCCACCTCAGTGCCAGAGTGTGTGCAGGGGACAGCACGGACCCTCGGTCCGCACAGAGGCCATGGGCTTGTGTCTGGGCAGCTCATCTCTCCTGAGCGCCACACCAGCTCTTCCTCGGGCTGCAGACAGTTGCCGGGTGGATGCGTGGGTTTGTTGTCCGCCTTCCCCTCTGTCCAGCTTATTCCATCAGCTCTCCACCATCTTGAATCTGCTTCCTGGTTCTGGGCTTGGCTTTGGAGTCTCTGGCCGGGGTTCTTTGCCTCACTTGGCAGTTAGCACTTCCTGCCGGGTTTGGGAGGAGGACTGGGCGGATGCAGCAGCCCCGTGGTCAGCCTGCCTGGGTTGGCGTTGCAGTGAGGGTCCCTCCTGGACCTCTGGACCCGTCACCCTGCATGGCGCCCCCCAGTTCCCTCGCGTTCCCTCCCAGAGTCGGAGGGCCTGGTGATAAGTAGTGTTCCGAGGTACGTGGTTATGTCTGTTTGCAAATCTGTGTTAGACTGAATGGCTCCTGCTCCGTGTTGATGGGCTTCCTGGTTGGCTTCTGCAGCCTGAAATGTATGCTGCTGGGGAAGCTCTGAGCCCCTCTCGTGAACATGAACCAGGATTTGAATGAATCCGTAGACAGGCAGTGCCGAGAGTGTTTCCTGGCAAACCCTGCGGAGCTGACCACACGCCAGAAGCTGAATGGCGTGCGAGTGGACGGCGGCAGCGTGCTGAGACATCAGTAGTGCGCGGATCAGTGAAGGGCACAATGGCAGCACTGGGTGGTGTCAGGAGGGTGGAGCATGTGCTGCCAGTGAAGCAACAGATGCGCTGTCATTTTCTTTGAATTGTCAGGTGTAGTAAATTGATAGTATCGAAGCCAGACTGTCTTGCTGTGTGTAGGCCGTCCTGTTGTGATGCTGTAATGTCTTAATTACATGTTGGGTCCAGGGGAAAATGTAATTTTGCAGCTGGTTAAGGAATTTTTCTTGAGGGGCCTGGCGCTGTGGCACAGCGGGTTAAGGCTGCCTGCTGCCTGCCATGCCACCGTCCCCCGTGGGCATCAGTGGAGCCTCCGCTGCTCCGCGTCCAGCCCTCCTCCCCTTCCTGCCTGGGGAAGCAGCAGCACACGGCCGAGTCCTTGGGTCCCTGCCACTCAGGACGGAGGCCTGAGGGAGTCCAGGCCTCTGATTTCAACAGGGGGAGCCCTGGCTGTCATGGCTGTTTGGGGTGTGAACAAGCAGATGGACGATCTCTCTGTCTCTGTCTCTGCCTTTCCCTGTCTCTCTCTTACTCTGCCTTTCAAATAAATAAACCTTTAAAAAAAGGTTTTCTTTAAATGACGTCTGGCTTGAGTTGGCGTAATGATCTCTGCTGCTCAGGTGAGAGACTCCTGTGTGCAGAGACGGGCTCAGCCCAGCTCCGCGTGCCCGCGGGGGGCTGCTCTTCCTGTCCCCGAGTCGTGGGCTTAGAGAGCAGCTGCACCTGCCCGTGTGGGCCGCCGCTGACCGCCTCTCACTGTGTTGTGGCTCTGCAGGTGCATGGACTGTATCGCACCACAGGTGCCAGTTTTGAGAAGGCCCAGCAGGAGTTTGCGACAGGCGTGATGTCCAACAAGACCGTCCAGAGCGCAGCCGCAACCGCGGCCTCCAGTGCAGCGACCAGCGCCGCGCAGAGCGCGTTCAAGGGGAACCACATGTAGAGCCCTCGGACAGCACCAGCTACCCGGACTGTGCTTTCTCTCCAGTTACTGTACTCTACAGGTATTTTTATGTTCCAGACACACAGTATACACAGCATGGATATTTCCTGTTCACCTGTGCATGGGCTAAGACCAGAAAAACTTCCTGTCTCATTACTTCGCCTGGTAGTTTCTTAAAATTCCAATGCCCCTTGCAGAAAAAAAAATACATGCTAAATAAATATTCTCCATATTTTTTGGGGGATGATGTTCAGCAGATTATTTCAGTGGTGACACACTGAAAGGAATATGGTACTTACAATTAAACACGCATTCAGCACTCCCGGCAGCAGCTCTTTCAAGACTCGTTAGAGGGAAGGATTAGACAAGGACAGAGGAGCTGTGTTTCTCCTGTTTGTATCGAAAGGAACGGGCCAGTACAAAGGAATTGGCTTGCTTTTCAGCAGTTTCAGTCACCCGAGAAGAGCCTTGTGCACTTCGTAGCAGATAATGTAAATTGTATCTTCTTTTTCCTTTCTCTTTTTAGAGTAGTTACTATTTTGATAACAACCTCTAGTCTTGCATGGGTCCCATGTTTCTTAAATTAAAAGAATTAGTATTTTGGGTTCTGTACTGCTTATGGTTGTTAGGATTCAGGGGTTCTTTATGGAATCATAGAAATGATTTTCTGTAATAGTTTCTTTTAAACACGCATTTATTGGGGTGCAATATGAGAGTTTATTACAGTATGCAGTGCGTCATCCAGAGACTGGACTGAGTAGGTGCAGTGATCATGGTTCCTCCTATTGATTTGTCCTCATTTTCAGTGTTCACGTAGTGAAGTCTGCTGTATGAGACTGTGTGTACCCGTGGCTCCCTTAGCTGGCTGGGCTTGTGTTTGGCAGTGCCTGTGGGTGTGTGCGTCATTTTCAGGGAGGTAGCAGAGGCCAGCCGAACCTTCGTCTAAGGAGAGCATGCAGGATTTAAGGGATTTTTCTTTTAGCCTCTCATTTTCAGTGGCATAAAAAATAAAAAGAGCTGCCGTTTTTCCTGGGCTTGAATCCCGGGTGCACCGAAGTCTTTCACTTTTTGAGTCAGACTGGATACATTTAAAAAATAAAACCTTTAACTAGTACCAAGCAAGGACACACAAATACAATCAAGGGCATTCATCATGAAGGCAGAAACAGCAAAGTTGTTAGTTATTCTGCAGCAGAGAACTTAATTCTGGGTAGGCTTGGGTGCAAGCCTGGGGTCACTTCTTAGTGCTGACGAAGCGACTGCAGGCATGTGAGCGTCGCCCCTCGGCCCTGCAGCGACGGGCGTGGCTTCCTGGATGTTCAGGGAGGACAGTCTGCTGGAAAGCATCCTCTGAGATTGCAGTTCTATTTTAGAAGGATCAGTTGGGCATAAATGGCCCAGGCGCTTTGATCCTCCTGCCCACATCTGAGCTCGGGCTCTGGCTGGCGGTGGCGTTTTGCAGGCGCTCTGCTTGAACCCAGGTAGTGCCGATCCCCGGGTGGCGGACTGTCCATCTGTCCGTCCGTCCGGTCTGTCCCGGGCGGGAGGCTTTGGGGAGGAGACTTCCGCTCTGGGGAATCAGGGCTCAGAGGAGGGATTCACAGTTGTTGCAGATGTTTCTGGTGAGCCGCGAGCTGCACCTGCATCCTCACCCCAAGCGAGCTGGCGGAGTCCATGGCCTCCCTGGAACCCGCTTCCTCCGTGTGCCGTGTGCACGTGTGGGGCGCACGTGGCCACGGAGAGCCTGTGTCCCACGCCCATCCTTGTTTTGCTTTAAGCTACCCGTGAAAGACACACGAGAGACTTCTGAACCGGAATGCCGTTAGTATGTAGGAATTCCCACAGGTAGCTCACTTCCTAGCGGGGAGCCACTGCACAGAGGGGACACGGTGTTCAAGTTCGGCGGGTTGATGGAAGTCTGAGAGGGAAACGCGTTTTTTAACAGTGTAAACACAGCTTTAAACTCTCCCAGTCACGTTCCCCGTCGGGGATCGGCTGTGGCCGGTTTTCAGGCCGGGCAGTTGGTGCCGTGCGTGTAACACCGGAGCGACCCGGCTGGCCCCGAGGGGCTTCGCCAGGGGGCGCCCTTGCCCGTCAGTTCGCAGTGTTTAGTCATGGCTGCTTGTTTCAGACTGAAGGTGGAACACTGGAAACCATTGCCCGCTGATTGTAACGCGCACTGGTCCGCACAGACGCCTCCGTGGTCCCTGATGTTGCATGTTTCCGTGGTTTGGAAGTTTTGTATATTTATTGTATTAACACAGAGTGTCACAAAATAAAATGCTGTTTACTGGACGTGTGCGCCTGTGATTCTGAACACCACATTCAGGTGAACGCTGTGTGCATTCAGAGGAACTTAGCGCCGACGGCTTAGCGTCGGAGCAGCTTTCCGTTTCATTTCCTCACACAGTCTGTGCGTGACTGTCAAGTGCTGAACACGGTAACTGGTGAGAACTGAGGTTAAGCAGGACAGCTGCTCTTCCGTTGCACTGACGGACGTGGGCTCCGCCCCTGTGATATGCACCACTATAAGATAAAAATAGAGACTGTTTTTTAGTTAGATTAAAAATGGGTAAAGTCCCATGGCTGCTTTCTCCTTATGGGTTAGAAAAGGGTGCTTGTGTTACTGGTGGTGTGCTGATTCCGTGGAGTCCGTGTGCTGTGTTGTAACCTTGCCACCCATTGCTGTTGAGGTACCATATTGTGTGTTGTTTGGCTAAAGATGGAAAATGTAATCTGCTGTATTGCTCATCACGAGTCGTTGTTTTGAAAAATACTTGTTAAATTAAAAATGGGAACACTGTTTTTTATCTCCTGAGTGTATCTAAGCAAGTGACTGGATTTTCACACTTCGTGTACCAGGAAAGAGTCTTCACCTGTGTTTCGTGTTGTGACAATATATAATCTGCTTCTTGAGGATTTATACGGCTGGGTTTCTGCTCGTTTGTCGAAGTTGTTTGTCATAGCCTAATGCCTTCTATACCCATTATGTATTTTCTGAAAATGCTAGTGTTAGCACCTCATTCTGCATCTTCATTGGTAAAAGCTGGGTTTAGCATGGCTTTCTATATGCAGAGTTTGTTATATTTTGGGCATTTTTATGATATGTATAGCTTAAAACTGTCATAACACCTTCTCAGTGTATCTCCTTTCATTTTTTTTCTTAAGAAAAATGTTTAGAGGAATTTGTTGATTCATGTGGTGAAGTCCAATAGGGGTGAAATTATAGTGGTTAATTTAAGAATCATAGAGAGTGGCTTAAAATAGAGAACAGCTTACTTTGGTAAATTTTCAAGTACCACAGTATACATTTATTTAGAGTACTGTAGAATAATGTATTTCAAAACATTAAGGTTGTTTGGGATTTTTTAAAAAAATATTTTATTTATTTATTTGGAAGAATTAGAGATCTTCCACCCACTGGTTCACTCCCCTAATGGCCACAGGGCTGGGCTGGGCCAAAAGCAGGAGCCAGGTGCTTCCTTCAGGTCTCCCGCGCAGGTGCAGGGGCCCAAGCACTTGGGCCACCCTCCAGTGCTCTCCTGGGCTCATTAGCAGGACCTGGATCAGAAGTGGAGCAGCCGAGACCCAAGCCAGTGCGCGTATGGGATGCGGACACTGCATATAGCTGTTTAACCTGCTATACTACCTGCCCTTGGATAGTTTTTAATTAAACTAAAAAGTTGTATCCCCGGGCCAGTACTGTGATATAGTGGGTAAAGCCACCGCCTGCAGCGCCGGCATCCCATATGGGCACCGGTTCTTGGCTGCTCCACTTCCAATCCTGCTTTGTGCTATGGCCTGGGAAAGCAGTGGAAGATGACCCAAGTGCTTGGGTCCCTGCACCCACATGGGAGACCCGGAAGCTCTTGGCTCCTGGCTTTGGTCTGGCCTAGCTCCGGCCGTTGCAGCCATTTGCGGAGTGAACCAGCAGATGGAAGACCTCTCTCACTTTCTCTCTCTCTCTCTCTCCCTCCCTCTCTCTCTCTGCCTCTCTGTAACTCTTTCAAATAAACAAATAAATCTTAAAATTTTTTTAAAGAATTAAAAAAAAATGTATCCCTGTGGTTAAGTATTACGAGATGTGAAATATTTGCACTGGAATTTTAGAGTACATTTTATAAAAGAGCATGCTGACTGCATTGGTGAGTTTTTAATTTTTTATTTTAAAATATTAATTAGAAAATGAAGACGCAAGAAAGCTCTCCCGTCAGCTGGCTCAGCCCTCAGATGCCTGCAGCAGCTGGAGCTGGGCCCGGTGGAGCTGGGAGCTGCACGCCGGGCGCCCACGTTGGGGCAGGGACCCAGCTCCTTGAGCTGTCACCAGCTGCCTCTCAGGCACACACCCACCAGGAAGCTGGAGTCAGGAGTGGCGCCGGGACTTGAACCCAGACCCCGAGACCACGTGCCCACCCTGGCGTGGGTATCCTTAAACTTGATTGCAGTGCTTGGTCACCGTGTGTGCAGCACTCGAGCAGGGTCTGTGGAAACTCCGTCAGGTAGCCGTTGCTGCTGGTCCATTGCGCACAGGCAGGTGACTCGGACCAGAAGATGCTGAAGTGGGAAGATGTTGCTTCCCAGCCCCCCTGTGGCTTTTGTGTTCACATTTAGCTGTTCGGGTTGAGTAAGACAGAACCTTCCGCTACAGAGTGTTCACGAGCACCGTTCGTGCTTTCAGATGGCAGAACACGGGAGTGGCCTTCGGAAGCGCCGTGAGCGCTGTGTCTCGTGTTCATCCAAATCCAGGTTGACTTTGCAGCCCCCAGCTGTCCGGCCTGGGCGCGATGGCCAGGCTACGCTGCAGCCCGCTCACTCTCACCTGGAGCAGGGACAGGAGTGGCGCCCTTCTCCTGGGAGCTTTCCATCTACTGTGCAAGATGACGTCTCCGCACCGAAGCAGGTGGACTTTATACAGCCACACCAGGCAAGAACTGCCCGTGAATTCTTGGGTTGTTTCAGGACTTCCTTAGCTATAATACCACGGTTCCTTGTCTTTTGTATTTTGTGGGCACATGATTTTCCGGGTGCAGCAGCTGCTAATGTTAACGGTTTGCAGTGTTCTGTTGCAGGTCTTGGGGGCTGGTGAGGGGGAAGAGCAGACTCAGAGTCCTTCACCTGGCGCCCGGGTCCGACAGCATCCGGTGTCCTTCCGCGGAGATGGCGCCCCCTGGGCGTGGACGGCCTGCAGGTTTTCGTTTTTGAGTGTGAGAGTGGTGCATACCTCCCGTAGATAACTGAAAGACGCGCGGCGTGGTAGACGGGAGAATTTTAAAAATCCTGCATTCTGTCACCTAGGGCAGTCTTATGTTGTTTTTTTTTTCTCCTACTTTTCTGTGCAGGCAGTGTATTATTTATAGACTTAAGGGATATAAGCAATATAAGTTTTTAAGATAATATTTTCCCTGTCTTGGCATTTTATGGTAATGGCATGATAGTTTAGTTTTGAAAAATCTTTTAATTTATAAAGTCAGTGCACATTCCAGTATAAATTGTAGAAAATACTAAAAAGCCAAAGAAGACAACTAAAACTGCTGATCATCTTTACACCCGTAATTTCTGTTGAAGCCTGACGTACACACTTATATTCATTTTTACAGGCATGAGTAACTTCTGTTAAAGCCTGCTGTATACACTTGATTGATTTTTGTACCCGTGAGTACTTTCTGCTAAAGCCTGGCGTATGCACTTGCATTAATTTTCACACTCACAAGTCCTTTCTGTTAACACCTGGCGTATGCACTTGCATTAATTTTCCTAGGAGGAATTCCTCTTCCTGAGACGGAGCAGGGCTGAGCCCCCCTCCCCTCGCGGGCTGTTTGCACACCGTCACAGCCCGATCCTGTGCTGTCTGCCGGCCCAGCGGCGGCCTCCGCGTTTTGTCCTGGAGGTGACTGTGTCCTCAGTGACGCTGCCCCAGATGTGGGGGCGCTGGGCGCCATACTGTGCGTGGAGAAGCAGCACCGCAGCGGCCGACCTGCAGTCGGGCAGGGAGGACGGACGCCGGGGCACCGGGGGCGCCGGGCAGCTCTGTGCCTCCTCCTGCTAGGCTTGACGCTCTCTCCCATTTTCCTCCCAGGGCCGACTGGGCAGCTCAGCCAACAGAGCGGTCGGTTATCTTTTCTCCGCTGCCTCCAAGTGCGTGCGGGGCTTCTTTGCCCCTTTCTGAATGTGTTCTCCAGCCGCCAGCCATCGCTCTGGCTGTGTGCATCCAAGTCGTGCCACTCCTGTAGGTTCTGATCGCCCAGTGCTGTTCTTACAGCCCGTTCCCCAAGGCCTGTGCTGTTCTGAGCTCCGGCCCCGGCTTCTGCTGGGTGTGCGTGTGTCCAGGAGGCCTGGGAGGGAGCCGCCGCCGCCGCCTCCGCCTCCGCCCGCAGCCCACACAGGCTCTCCTGCTCGAAGTCTTCCAGACCAGTGAGTTTCCACAAATGATCGGGGGTGTGCTGCTGAGGACCTGGGCTGCCCGTTGCTGGGCCCTGCCCGGTGCGATGGGTTTCTTTTGGTTTTGCTGTGTCTCCTGCCTCCACGGAGCGGGCGTCCACTGGAGGGCCGAGGGAGCACGTGGTGGCCGCAGGGAGTCAGCCCTCTGGGCTCTCGGGGAGGTAGGTCGGTTCTGAATTGGGTTCTGACACACAGTGCAGTGCTAACAGCAGCTCCTAAGTGATTGTCTTTCAGTCTCCTCATAGTAACTGACTTACTGAGGACTTGATGCACACTGGAGGCCACACTAAATGCTTCCCGTACGTCACTCAGCCCTGACGTGAGCCCCACGATGCCATTCCTGTGACCAGTCCCTGTCGGGGGTGGGGGGTGCTGGGCCAGCCAGGTCCCCGCCTGCCGCGGCCACGCAGTGGCCCTCTCTCCGCTGTTCCGTGTTCCCTCTGTCCTGCCACATTTCCAGTCATCCCTGTCCATCCCTCAGGAATGGCGAACACTAGGCCGACAGCCGAGGAAGAGCGAGAGCGTGGCCGGGGTCTCCAGACCAGAGGCTGCGCCCTACCCTGACGGTGAGTACCCGCCGCCTTGGGCGCGAACTCGAGGTGCAGATGAATCCTTACTAGGCTGACTGTGCGCTTACGTGGGCCTAACAGCTGCTTCCTCTGGAAGGGAGATCCCGTGTGGTAAGAAGCTGCAACCATCGGCGCCTCCCCGTCACGCACCTGCTGAAGTTAGAAATCACGGCTGAGTGTGCACTGGCACACTCCCGTCCCCAGCCCTGGACTGCCAGCTGCACGGCCCAGGCTGCCCTCCCCGCCCTGCCCTCCCCTCTGTGACTGCACCGCTTGCCACCCTGCGCACGGCGGCTCTGGCAGTCACCCTGGCCTTGGCCGGTCTCCGGGCCCTGCGTCCCGTGTCCCACTGTTGTCTCCACCCTCAGAGCCGTCACCCAGGCGTTCTGCTCTCGTGAACGGATTACTCTGCTGTTCCCCGGACACAGCTACCTGCGGCCTGCTTCCCTGTGCAGGGTGTTGGCCCCTGGAAAGACAAGGGTCTGCGAAGTCTTGGCTTTGCCTGTGGTTTCGGTTTGGCTGCTTTCTCCTGTCGGTGCGCTTATCCGTATGCTGTGTACCTGAGCCAAGTCAGGTCCCTGAAGACTCGCCCTGCACAAGTGTTGAGGGTGCTGGGTGCAGAGTGCGAGGGAGACGGCAGCGGGAAGGCGGCGGTGCACGGGCCCCAGCACGCCACGGGGCTGCTGCCGAGGGCCGGAAGTCAAGACGATTGTGGGTCCTGATACTCTGAGGAGCAGCGGACGCAGGCCTCTCCGCCCTTGTCCTCGGAGAGCTGAAGGAGGCATCAAATTATCTGAAACCGTATCTGAAACCTAACACAGGAGCGCGACCCCCGTAAAGCCATTTGCAGGGCAGTAAGGCTGCGGGTGCTGGGCTGCGTCACGCAGCGCTCGGGCGCCCCGGAGTAAGCGCAGCGTGTTCCAGGCGGATCAGAGCCGGGACGCTGAGGCAGGCAGGGCTTGGGGAGCACGCGGAAGGGTTCCCTTCCTCCGCGTCACCACATCACAAGTGAGACAGCAGCTACGTTTCTCTAACCTCGGATCACTCGGATCATGATTTGTTCAGAACACATTTTCTGTAGTGATTCGTAGGGCTTCGGCAGTTTTCCGCGTTGGTTTCTTTTGGGAAACCTGGCAGGTGTGGAGTGTTGAGAAACCAGGTGTAAATGGTTCAGCTGCCCCAGGCCCTCGGCCGGGGTTGCTCCTTCCGTTAGACAGGAAGTGCCTCGCGGGACCTGCAGAGCTGACTGCGTTCACAGACCGGGCTACTTCGCGTCATCTTCGAGCTCCTGAATTAGGATTAGGCCTGTTGTGTGTGAGGCCTTGGGTGGCTGGGACCACAGGAAACGTGGGTGTGGAGTGGCCGTACACCTGAATCATGGGCTTCTCCTCTCTCCCCACTTTTTTTAAGATTTATTTATTTGAAAATCGGTGTGGCAGAGAGAGAGAGAGAGAGAGAGAGAGAGGCAGGCCTTCCATCGCTGGTTCACTCTCTAGTTGGCCACAATGGCCAGAGCTGTGCTGATCCAAAGCCAGGAGCCAGGAGCCTCTTCTAGGTCTCCTACGCAGGTGCAGGGGCCCCAGGACCCAGGCCATCTGCTGCTGCTTTCCCCCAGGCCACAGCAGAGAGCTGAATTAGAAGTGGAGTAGCCGGGACTCGAACCGGCGCCCATATGGGATGCCGGTGGTAGCTTTACCTTTTCTGCCACAGTGCTGGCCCCTTTTCTCCCCACTTTTTGAAAAAAAAAAATATTTGACAGGCAGAGTAAGAGAAGGAGAGAAGCAAAGAGATCACCATCTGCTGGTTTGCTCCCCAAATGGCCACCACGGCAGAGATGGGCCAGACCAAAGCCAGGAGCCTGGAACTCTATCTGGGCCTCCCAAGTGGGTGGCAGGGGCCCAAGCACTTGGACCATCTTCCACTGAAGTCCCAGGCCATAGCAGGGAGCCGGGTCGGGACTGGAAGCTGAGCAGCTGGACCTTGAACCGGTGTTCCCATGTGGGCACAGGTGTCACGGGTGCTGCACCATGATGTGCCCTCCAAACCTTGTTTTGAGACATTTCCTTCCCAAATGCCTGCAGCAGCTAGGGTTGAGCCGGGAGCTGGACACACAACCGGGTGTTGCAGGGAGGTGACAGGAAGCTGGAGCCAGGACTCAGACCCCGCTCTGGTGTGGGACCCCGGCCGGTCTCTCTGGTAGGCTGAATGTCCCCACCACCTTTGGTGTAAAGAAAGATGTGTCTTTCAGGTAAGAAGGTAATTCCCCAGCTTGACTTGCGGATTCTGCCAGTTTATAATTATGTCGAGTTTCTCCCAGGAAGAAATACACTTAATTAGGTGTTAACGGTAACCTGGGCAGGGCCGTCTGGGTTACTAGCAGAACAGCTGAGAAAACCTGAATCTCTTTTTTCCTTACCGATACGATGTACAATACTTAAAATATATTTGGACTGGGAGGTGTTTTATCAAATTATCCGTATCATATTGAACCCATTATAATCAGACTGGAAAGAAAAATAATTTGCAAAATTTGGTTTAATTCAGACCGGGGGAGGGGCGAGGAACACACTGGAAATATATGTACACGGGGACCTAACCCGCTAAGGAACAGGGTCGGTTTACAGGACACGAGGAGAACCACCAGTTGGAAGGCTCAGGAGTCCACAGCTGTCAGTCCCATTTCACATTGGCTCAGGGGGTGCGTGTTCCTGCAGAGCACCTCCCGCCCCGGCTCCGGGCCTCCCCGCCGCTCAGTCCTTGGGCCCTCGGGCGTCAGTGCTGCCCAGGGACTCCCGGCGGCCACAGCGAGGTGTGTTCTCAGCCGGACGCTGCCGGCGCAGGAGGTGTCGGGTCAGCCCTTCAGCAGTGGTCTAGCATTAACACGGTCTGCACAGGCACGCTCAGAAGAGCCCTCAGGGATTATGTACCAGCTACGAGTTACCACACTAGCAGGAAAGCTTCACATTTCACACGAAAGACGAGCATCAGCTGGCCCGCTCTGCTGGCGTCAGGCTCACATACAGCTAGTGATTACGCGAATGGAGACCCAGGGGAGCGTGGTCCATGCCAGTCTCCTCTTCACGTAGGATCTGTGTAGCATTAGCATCGTTAGGAGTTTCATGAAGGCAGCAATGTTTAACTCTTCTTTGCCAAAACATCTCTGTTTTGACTCCTGTCCAGTTTCCGAAAAACGCAACACACATACGCCTGTTATTGCACATCTTTCACACAAATCTGTGTATGTGTAATATACATATATACTTTAAATACGCTACACGTACAAAAAGACTATGGCACGTTACAGAGTACACGTCTACCAGAGATCAGTACACCACAGATGTCCGAGCACTCTCCAGAAAGCCGCACACACTCGGGCAGCATCGCTGAATTCGCACACAGGTTTAAAGGATCCACAAAGGTCCGAGTGGATGCCGGCAGTCGTGCAGGGCCGGGGAGCAGCGCTGGTTATGGCTGGGGCCCAGAATGGCGTCCCGCGGCGGCTGGCTCAGGCGCTGACGGCAGGGGGACCGAGGGGGACCGAGTGGTCATCGTACTGTCTCTGGAAGCAGAGCGGGGCTGTGCTGTGCGCGGGCAGTGGTCAGTGGTTTGGGCTTGTGTGTGCATGCGTGTGTCCGAAGCCTGGACATGAACGCGCTGACCCCAGCGGGGCTCGGTTCTGGCAGTGGGGTGCGTCCTCCCAGGCACGGTCAGGGTGGCCTCAGCCTTGGGGACGCAGCAGGGGCGGCGCCTGCACAGGAGCGGAGGCTTCACCTGCCTGGGGCTTGGGCGCAGACGGGGACGATTCCCCAGTGGTGGAAATGGGCTGTTCGTCCTGCAACGTCCCGCCGCGGTGTCAGCGTCGGCACAGGGACTCAGAGGACGGAGCCCTGGCCCCTGGCGGTCTCCTCGGCCGCTGGGAAGCCATGTTTACCCCACGTCCCTGCACGTGGCTGACGGAGAAACGGGAGCTCCGCCCGAGCCTGCCCCCGCCCGAGCCTGCCCCGGGGGGAGGTTCTGTTCAGCGTGGCCTCCGCCGCCCCAGGCCTGGTTCCAGGGTCAGGGAGCTTTGATGGGACTCCTGGGGCAGTGCGGGCCGGGAAAGCTGGTCAGCACCTTGCTCACAGCAGTGCCGAATCGGAACGATTCTGCAGCCGCAAGTGAACGCCGCGGGAACCGAGACCGGTACTTCCTCCCCTCCTGAACGCGGCCCTGGCTGGCCCGGCTGAGTGCCTGCTGCTTCGGGGGCACCGGGACCGCCCCGTTCTGGGACAGCCACGAAGCCGGATGAGACACCCCGCGTCCTTCCTCCCCGTGGCACCAGAGCCTTTGTGGACAGGCGCCGTGAGCTTGGCCCGGGCTCCCGTCGTGGCTGGGGGATGTTTCCTTGGCAATGACGTCTTCGCTGCTGCAGACTCACGTTCCTCCACTCTGCTTTCAGAATCCACACCTGTACCTGGAGGAACCCAACCCCACGGCTGCTCCTCTCCCCCTGCTGCCGGCGGGCGCCGCGGGTAGCAAGCAGGGAGCAGCGGGACGTGCAGATTCCGTCCCGAAGCCCAGGAGAATGTGACTTGGGCTCGGGGGCGGCTGGCTGGGTGCTGGCCAGGTCGCTGGGCAGAGGACGCTGGTCTTCAGGAGCGAGACTCTACTGGGATGCTCAGGTGAGTGCCCAGGGCCTGCCTCCACCCCCACTGATATTCCCAAAGTTCCAAGAGTCAGGGCTGAATTGATCCAGCTTGGTTAGCTAAGCACGAGCCAGCGTGCGGGGGGCCCGCCCACACACGTCCTGCCCCAGTGGTCTGTGGTCTTCCTGGAGCGGAGGGAAATGCAGCCACCGACCCGACATCACTCTGGGGTTGAGATGCTCACGGCGTGCAGGTTGGGGGCCGGGACAGGAGCATGCTGGGAACGGCCTGCAGCTGAGGCTGCGAGTTACAGACAACGGCCGCCCTGAGCCCGAGGGTGATGGGTCTGCATGCACGCCAAGGCTGAGGACCGCCGGCGTGCCGCGGCCCTCGTGTCCGGTAGCCTGGCGTGGCTGGAGGTTGCATCTCCTTCGTCCCTGGAAGGCCTGGGGCTGTGCACGTGGCTGTGGCAGGGGAGGCTGGCTGGAGGCCAAGGTCGCAGCGCGGACAGGGCCCTAGAGCAGGCAGATGAGGGTCTTGCCCTCTTCGATCTCTTCCTGGACTTTGTCGCTGGAGGTGGCGATCTCGGCCTGTGCAGAGAAGACGGCGCACACGAAGGTGAGGACCGTGCCGCCGATGGCCGTGTAGAAGGCCCAGCCCAGGGAGCAGTCTCCAGGCTTGTAGGCAGACGCGTAAGGTCCGCAGTAGTCTATGGCTTTCTGGCAGCCCCAGCCCGCAGGGTAGAGTATCAGCCCGAGGATGAGGAAGAGGCCTGTGGGAGGAGAGAAAGCAGGTGAGACCCGCGCGGCAGTGGGCAGCGGCCGCACCGACTCCGCCTGCTCTGGGCGTGGCCTCAGCTCCTCCCCCAGGAGGGCCTGCAGGCACGGGGGCCTGCTCTGGAGACGCCATCTTGCTTCCTGGTGATTTGCACAGGGCCCTGCGGTGGCGCACGGGGGCCTGCAGGCCGAACGGGGCTTTCTCAGTCACTTCTGCTGGAGCACGGCCACGCCCGTTCCCCCACGGTCTGCCCCGGACCACGCGGCCTGCAGATCCTGGCTGGACTGCTGACCGCCTGCTCTCTGCAGGAGGATGTGCAGAGCCCCCTGATGCCCCCACATGCAGGAAGCAGGGGTCCCTGCGGGAGGCCGGCTCTTAGCCCGAGTCTGCACCCGCGGGAGCAGCGGATTCTGGATCTACGTGTGTAGTTAGAAAGGAGAATTTTCTCTCTGGAAGCTTTTCAGTGGACTGGCCTGCAGTCACCAAGCAGCTCTGCCTCCGTCCTGCTGCCCCCCCACCCCAGTCACTTTAACCGTTTTGTTCTTCCCTGTGGTGTCCCTGCTCATAAGTCCCCCGAGTCTGAGAGCCCCGTCCCTGCCTGGCCTCACGAGTGTGGGGGCTGGGGCCGTGCAGGCGAGGCCCACACCCCCTGCACACCAGCAGGTGCCAGCCTGTGCCAGCCCACCCCGCCCTGGGCCTGGCCCTGGCCTCTATCTAGCGGAAGCCTCTCCTGAGAGACGCGGGGCCCAGAGCTGACCCAGCAAAACCTGGGGAGGAAGTCCCCTCACGAGGTCTTCACTTCCCCACAAAGAGGCAGAGTGCAGGGCGGCTCCGCCCACCCGGCAGGGGACGCTTGGTTCTGATCCCGACCCTGCCTCCCTCCCGGGCCTCGGAACAGGCACCCTGGGCTGCCAGCTCAGCCTGGGCTCCACGTGCTGTTCTCCCCCACTCCCTGCGTGCAGCCTCCCGGCGGGGGGGCACAGTGGGCACGGGCAGCTCAGGGACAGCGTTTGACACCCCGAGGGCACCCTCCAAGCTGGCTTCACGGGTCACCGTTAGAACAGAGGGGTCCCGTGGGCCCCAGCTCGGGCCATCGTCCAGCTTGGAGGGTGCGGTAGAGCAGGGGGCGCTCGTGCATGGCTGCCCCGCCCCCCACTCTGTGGTGTGAGCTGTGAGGCCGGCCTGGGGGCTGTTCCTGAACCCCGGCTCGAAACCATGCAACAGGCGACAGCGGGGGACAGCCCAGCACCACGGCGAGGTGCACCGAGAGAGGCCCGGGTTGGCAGTAGGAGGCAGCGCCGCTGACCCTGCACCCGCATGCCGGACTCGCCTCGGCCCACAGGTGCTTCCCAACCGTTCCCAAATCTGCTTCATGCCCTGTGGGAGAACAAAAGGTGATTGACAAGCGAAGGCACATAATTATCTGGGTCAAAACAGTTCAGTCCAGACCCATAGAGTAAACACTTTCAGCTCTAAGCCCCATGAACAAGTGGAGTTTTTTTTTTTTTTTCCAAGTTATGGATTCAAAGAAACTACTATTAAAATGTCCGCACTGTCCAAAACAATCTGTAGATGCAACACAATCTCCATCAAAATACCAGCCACATCTTCTACAGAAATGCATACAGAAGGTAAAAATCCCTGCAGCCACAGCAATGCCGAGTGACCAGAACAGAGCTGCAGGCACCGCACACGTGCTTTCAAGATACAGCGCAGAACCACCGAAACCAAAACAGCGCGGTGCTGGCACAGGGACAGACACACGGGCCCCTGGAACAGAGACCCCAGGAACCACCCGCACGTTTACGATCAGCTGCTTGCTGACCGATAAGCCGAAAACAAACTGCAGAGAGGGAGGACTCTCCACCAATGGTGTTAGAAAAACCAATTAGCCAGACACGGAAGATTGAAACCTTTTACCCTCTAAAAATCAATCAGAATGGATCAAAGACCCAAATGTAAGACATGAGAATGGCTCCTTCAGGACGTGAGTACAGGCAGTCATGCTTTGGACGACTCCAGAGGCACAGGCAGCGGAGGCGAAAGGAGGCAAGTGAGATCACGTCAGCCACGACGTTTCCGCACAGCACAGACAACGGAGCGAAGAGCCGGCAGATAGGACAGGAGAAGATACTTGAAAACTGTAAGGGTTCATATCAAAAACATGTAAGGAATTTTACAAAACAAAGTATTAAGAAAGGGACAAAGGAAGAAATACAAATGGCCAAGGAGTGTATGAAAAAATGCTTCATCTCACTGTCATCACGGATCAGCAAATCTAAACACAGGTCTCGTTCCAGCCCGAGTGACTCTTACCAAGAGACGAAAGCACACTGGCAACCTCAGTAGACCCACTGCGGGAGCGCAGCGGCAGGGCGCTCCCTCCGATCCCACGTCTGGTTACGTCCATCCGAAGGAAGTGGACCTACACTCCGTGCTCACCGCAACACTGTTCACAACAGCTGAACTACGGCTCAGTCTAGATGTCCACTTGGGCCATCCTCTGCTGATTTCCCTGGCGCATGAGCAGGGAGCTGGATCGGGAGTGGAGCACCTGGGACTCGAACTGGAGCCCATATGGGATGGGTGGAAGACAGAGGAAGTGTGACACACACAGACACACACCTGTAGCAAAATGGACTGAACCAGCAGGGGTGACGAGGCGGGCGCACAGGGACAGCACCATTCTCTCCCCCATGTGGAAGGGAGCAGTAAAGTCAGACTGACCACGAGAGCCTGGCTCCCAGGCACCTGCCACGCAGGCAGAAGTGCACCTGCTGAGGGCTGCACGTTGCAGACGCCCTGGGGAGAGGAGCGGGGAGGCTCCGGCAATAGAGAGAAGAAAAGGAACCGGCCCGCGGGGGTCACCTGTGCCCTGCGCTCAAACGCCGCACTGTGCCCCACAACCCAGCGGTGGCACCATCACAATCTCTCCACGTGACAATGCCGTCCTCTGTCTGATGCGGATGTCGTATACGGTGGAACCCAAGGTGAAGGCGTGCACACTGTCGGCACACGACTTTGAGATGAAACACAGACCGGACGTGGAGGCCCTGGGCAGGGCTGTGTCCTGTCACAGCCTGGGAGGCTCTGTGGGACCCGTCGCCCGTAGCCCCCTGACCGCCCCTGGCTGCACTCCAAACTGAGGGCCAGGACAGAGGCACGTGTGTCTGCCTGTGCGCTTTTGCCCCTGTCGATGCCCATTTACCAGGTGGGTGGTTCTGGGCAGGTGTGGTGGTGCAGCCAGTTACCCCACAGCCTGCAGCCCTGGCACCCATGTGGGCACCAGTTCAAGTCCCGGCTGCTCCACTTCTGATCCAGCTCCCAGCTGACGTGCCTGGGAAAGCAGTGGAAGATGGCCCAAGTCCCTGGGCCGCTGCACCCACGTGGGAGACTCAGAGGAAGCTCCTGGCTCTGGCCTGGCCCAGCTGTTGTGGCCATTTGGGGAGTGAATCAGTGGATGGAAGATTCTAACTCCACTTTTTTTTTTTTTAAAGATTTATTAATTTGAAAGAGTTACAGAGAGAGGTAGAGACACAGAGAGAGAGGTCTTCCATCTGCTGGTTCACTCCCCAGATGGCTGCAGTAGCCAGAGCTGCTCCAATCTGAAGCTAAGAGCCAGGAGCTTCTTTCGAGTTTCCCATGTCAGTGCAGGGGCCCAAGGACTTGGGCCATCCTCTGCTGCTTTCCCTGGCACATGAGCAGGGAGCTGGATCGGAAGTGGAGCACCTGGGACTCGACCGGAGCCCATATGGGATGGCAGCACCGCCGCCATGGCTCCAACCTGCTACACCACAGCACTGGCCCCTCTCTCTCCAGCTTTCAAATAAAAAAGGAGTGAGTGGTTTTAATTCTGTTGCATGAGCCGACACTGCTGCGCCCATCTGGGACTTGGGGCCTATCTGTAGAGAAGGCAGCTGTTTGTGCTGCCTGCAAATCGAGGACAGGCCATGTGCTTGGCTGCTGGCCGCCTGTGGACAGGCCACCGGAGAGACGCCACCCTCGGCACGGCCACCAGGGTGCGCTCCAGAGGCAGCCTCAGTGTCTGGGCGGCCGCCGGTGCCGGTCCTGCAGGGCCACTGCTGAGGGCCGTGGCGGTTCCAGGGGCGGAGGGTTGCTGCTCTCACCCTTCGGGCACGCGTCCACCCGCAGTATCCCCCGTCCCACCCACGTGTCGCCCCTGCTGCCTGTTCCCGCCGCCCTCCCTCTGCCACGTGGTGCGTTTCCAGCCATTTCCCGGGCTGAGCCCACTGCAGGCGGCAGAGCTGGGTTCCCGGCGCACTTCCCACACTGACCGTCAGGCCCCGGTGCTCTCCGTCTCCACGGACTCTGGCGGCACATCAGTTGTGTCATAACCGCGGACAGAGCTGCCGGGGCTGTGCAAGGTCAGAGCTCAGGTAACTTCCGGCCCCAACACAGTGAGGTCATTCACCGGGGAACACAGCAGGAGGCAGCTGACAGACGTCCACTGCCTCTCCCCAGCACTTCTCCGAAAAAACGAAGTAAGAACCCCCTGCCCCGAGCCCCTGCCCGCCTGTCTGGGCTGTGGACTCGGCTAAGCCTTGGGCCCCATCTTTGGGGACCAGCTCAGTTCACGTGTCCCTGCCGCCACCTCCCCTTACGCTCCTTGGTCCATCACCCAGGCAACCATCTCACTGATGCCAGGCCAGGGCGTAGATTCCGGGGCCCCACCCCATTCTGGGCCAGAGCATGGACTGCCAGCTCGTTAGGGGTGACAGCTTCAGCCATCAGCTGTGGGGAGGGGCACCCGCCTCAGCAGGGCTCTGCCCCCGTGTGTGGGGGGCGGCCTCTCAGGTCTGGCTCCTCCTGGCCCTCCGCTGTTCTCCCTAAGCCTTCCAGCCCCCAGCCAGTCTCGGGACCCCTTCCCTAACCTCACGCCCATTGTCTATCTGGTCCTGTGGTCTCAGCACTGCCTCGTGCTGCCGTCTTCTGAGTTTTGGACTCGAGATTTGCACATCCGGCTGCCTGTGTGAC